TCTCGGCGTCTGAGTTTGAGGGCGGGACGTGAGGTGTGCGGCCTGGAGCGGGTGGGGCCTGCGGTGGGCGGAGCCAGGGAGAGGCCGGGGGTTGGCGTAGCTGTGCTGGCGTGGGGGGGGCGTCGGAAGCCTGTGGCGGCCTTAGGTGGGCGGGGCCTGTTGACTCCTCGTGGCCCGCCTGGCCGGGGTTGTCCATGTGGAGCAGCACCTGTTTTCTCTGTGGTCCGCATTGTCCGGGCCTCAGCATCTGGGCAGAAAAACTCAGAAACTTCAAGTGTTGTACCGCGTGAGGCAGAGTTAGGTGCTTGACCCTTCTCACAAAAGCCAAGCTTTATATTCACAGTTCCGTAGAAGTAATTTTTGTGCTGCGAACCCAGCTGAGCTGTGAGGATAACAGCTTGGAGCAGCTAACACACAGAAACGAGCAAAACGCAACAGAAAGCACGTCAGAGTGTTAGGGTTATGCTTCAGACCTGCCGCACTCGCCGAGCGGGTCCCCTGAAGTCAGCACAGTGCTCACCAAGCGGATGAGTTTCCGGGGAAGGCCAGTTTGTGAAAATTAAGTTTCACACTACAGAAACGTGGATTCACATGCATCATTACTCTACTACTGTGAGAGGTTCCGGAATTGCTCCGTTTTTGTTCAGAAGTAAAAATACAATTTCAAAAAAATACTATAGTTATGGAAATAAAAGTAGTCCTTGACGAAGTACCTCTGGGAGGTGATGCGACAAAGGATATAATAATGTTAAATTTGTCTTTGAAACGACAAGTCTATGCAAAGCAGTGAGTGTGAGGATTCCCATTAGGTAATAACATTCAAGAGGCTGTGGAGTGTAGTGAGGGGAAAGAGCTGATTCTGCGTCAGGTTTTGTCACTTGGCAGCTTTAGGGCGCTGGGCAAGTTTCCTAACCTCCGCAAGGCTGTTCTTTGACTGCAGAAAAGGTATGTAAGTAGCTGGCAGCATGTGGTACAGAAAGGGCCTTTCATAAATACTGACTACTTGTGCGGGCATTGTTGGAAGCTAGGTACCTGGAGCTACCCCTGACAATTCTTTAAGGATTTTCTTAGTTTGATTCCCTTCAAACACGTGAGAACAATCTGACAGTTCGTTAAAACCGGTAACTCAGAAAGGATCAAGACGGTGTGGCGTTTATCAGTTGAAGGGTAGTGAATGGAAATTTTTCCCATTTTCAGGACCCTGCGGTATGTTCCAGAGGAATCCAAAGACAAAGTTATCTCAGATGAAGCTGTCCTAGGAACATTACTGAAAGTTTTCCAGGCTTTGTTCTTAAATGATCTCAATAAACAATCAGATATCTTGACCTTACTTCCACAACCTGTTAAGTCAAAATATCAAGACTTACTGGCACTTCAGCATCAAAGGGTGAATCTTCTTGAAAACAGACATCAACAGCAAAATATGTTTAAACCAGAAGAAATTCTTTATGAGACATTGGGTTTCAGTGTTGCCCGAGCAACTAGCTCACTGATTTCTGCAGGAAGAGGAGTCTTCGTTACTAAAGGATTGGTACCAAAAGGCGCAGTTGTATCTATGTATCCTGGTAACAGCTCAATTTAGTACTGACAAGAGTTTTTTGTGTACTGATAATACTTAGCCCTGTAATCCTTAAAGAATTGAACTGGAAACTCAGGTTTCCATAGATTTTTAAAAATCTGAATTCGTTAATTAAATGCTTATAAATCATGTTGTGTGTTAGAAAGTATCCTGGAGTAATTGTTTGGATGAATGCATTTTTCTTGTAAGGAATCTTTTCTTGAATTACCGTTTAAATTTAAAACACAGTATAGCTCCCTTTAACAAGTTTCTTAAAAAGCATTAGAGAATAAATGTTTGGCTTAATTGATAACTAAAGATTAAAAAGGGGTGAGTTAAAACATGAAAGTGTTTAAACCCATAAATAACTTCATAGAGACTTTCCTGCTTTTTCTACACTTGGAATGTAAAGCAGCTTCTTTGCCAAAAATCATTGGCAAGAATGTTCATTAGAATATGTATGTTATTGGTTATACTAACCTTACATTATTTGGTATAGTGGAGAGTGCATGGGCGTGTGTGTGTGTGTGTGTGTGTGTGTGTGTGTGTTAGGTAGACATGCTTTTAAAAAGTCATTCTGTTGTTTTATGACCCTAAACAACTATAAAACTTTTGTACAGCGAATTTAACTCTGAAGATTCAGTAAAACAAGGCAAAAACCAAAGTAATACAAAAATAAATTCAGTGAATAGATTAACATGGCTGGCAAGTGGGAAGCACCTTGTAAATATAATTTCTTCCTCTGTAAGTAAAAGAAGAAACAGTTTGAATGTCAGGCTCTTCCCAGATATATCTACATTATTTATTAACAAGAAGCATTTTGTAAAAGACTCTTAACTGATGTCATATCACACTCAACTTTTAAAAAATGTGTGTTGTAAAACAACTTAAAAATATAATGTTCATATTATTATAAAGCAAAATAGGCATATTTTCTCCTGTGTGAATAGTCGGTTCTGTATTGCATCTGCTATTGGGCACAGACTCTTCAAAGGAGAAAAATAACCTAAGAGAATGTGATTTCTAGATTGGAGGTAAAATGTTTTAAAAGGGATGGAGGAGTTGAAACACATTCTTCCATCATGTGTTTATGTTCCATAGAAAGGTCTTTATTTGGATTTGTTTTTTCAGTACCATGGATTGAACCAAGAGCCTTCACTATACCCTCAGTCTTATTTTTTTTTTTTTTTTTTTTTTTTTAATTTTTGAGACAGGGACGCACTCAGTAAGTTGCTTTGGCTGGACTCAAATTTAGATCTTTCTGCTTCAACCTTGTAGAGTGCTGGGATTACAGGCGTACACCACCATATTGGGGTTGGAGTTTTAAGACTTTTACATGTGCTACAATATGTCTTTGTTTTGTTGTGTGATAGGTACAGTATATCAGAAGTATGAGCCAATCTTTTTCCAGTCCATTGGAAACCCATTTATTTTTAGATGTCTGGATGGAACACTCATTGATGGAAATGACAAAGGAATATCAAAAGTTGTGTACAGGTAAGTGATGCACATATCCAAATTTAATAATAGAATACAGAACTACACTTGCCATGTGTTATAGTCTCTAGCATTTGAACGTTAAAAGTGTGTTGGGTGGCTTCTCTGTAACAACTCCGTTATCTGATTGATTACACAAAAATTTTTAAAAGAGAAAGCATACTAGTTTATTTATAGTTTTTTTAAAATTGTATTTTTAAGGGTCTGGGGATGTAGCTCAGCGGCGCAGCACCTGCCTGGCAAGCGTAAGGTCATGAGTTCGATTCCTGGTACTGGAAAAAAACAACAAAAAAAACCAAAACAAAAAAATTGTATTTTAAGATTCAAAACAGTCCCTTAGCTAATACTTTTACCTGTTTCAGATCTTGCAGTGGAAGAGATCGGCTTGGCCCTTTGAAACTGAATGATACTACATGGCTAACATCAGAAATTCATAATCCACTGGCTATAGGACAATATGTCAACAATTGTTCAAATGGTAAGTTGGCAATGTAGGGAAATGAGATCAGGTACAGTAATGGATAATTCTCCTGTGCCATATGACGATGAGTACCAGAAGCTGTTGAGTAACATCTCAGCTGTTCGAAGACCTTAACCAACTGTAACTTTTCCAGGAACCATATCAGAAAGAGAATTTGAGAAAATAATAGTAGATATCCTTTGGAAATCTTTAACTTACCATTTTTGTTCTGAATTTGTAATAAATATAGGCATTTGGTAATAAACACCCTTTTGATCATTATGATTTTAGTATTTTTAATAGAGATTATTTTATCAATGTCTTGAAATAGCCTTGTCCTAGGTTAATCACTAGCCTAAGGCAGCCTTTTTGTTGCTACATTTGTGAGTCACATACCTTTTTTGAGACTTGATTCTTCTGTAGGTAAAAGTTTGATCATTTGACTACGGCTAGCATGTATCCTTTATCAACTTGTTAGGGAGATGTGAACTTGTAAAACTGACTACTTTATTTAACTCTTAACCATTCTGATTTTCTATTTCCTGATATTTAAGAAATAAAGTATAAAACAGTACATGTGTTTATTATATAGGTTCATATATATAAACACAGATCCTTTTTAATTTATCTTTGGATGTTATTTTATTACATATATTGTTTATTGTAAAGATAGGTATGGATGTAGGTATATGAAATCTAATACTTTCTGGACTATAATACTAATTATTTGGGCACGTTCAATTTAGAAATTTAATTTAGAAAAACATACATCAAGTGTTACAATTCCATGACCTTTTTGCCCTTCTTTCTAAAAAGGATGTCCTTGTTCCTAGACAGAGCAGCTAATGTGTGCTATCAAGAATTTGAAGTGCCAGCAGTGTTCCCTATAGAACTGAAGCAGTATCTTCCAAACATTGCCTATAGCTATGACAAACAAAGGTTAGTTTTCTGAAAGAACATTTTGTATCTTATATCTTACGCTATACTTAAAAATATATAATTTCTAAGAAAAAGCTATATAGGAGTGTATCGAGATCCAGAATTATGATCTTTGCTCGTGTTGCCTAGGATTACTGTTGCTATTCTGGTTGCATGTGAATTTTAGGGCTGTTTTCTCCAGTTCTATGAAGAACACTGTTGGTATTTTGATTGGAATTATAGTAAGTTTATATGTCAGTTTATGGCCATTTTAACAACATTGATTTTGGCAATATTGGTTCTCGGAACAAGGATGTCTTTGCGTTTTCTGATGTTCCCTTTAGTCTCCCTTTTTAGAGTACTATAGTTTTTGTTGTAGAGATCTTTCACTTCTTTGGGTGAATTAATACCTAAATATTTAGTTTTTTGAAGCTGTTGTAACAGGCGAAAGACTTATATGATCTGAAGAGAAACCAGAGTATGAAGCTATTGTGAATGGTATTATTTTCTTGATTTCTTTCTCAGTGTGTTCATTATTGGTGTGCAGGAATACTACTGATTTTTGTGTGTACAGTGCTATTTTGCTGAATTTGTTTATTCCTTCTAGGGGTCTTTTAGTTGACTTTTTTGGGTCTTCTAAATCATATTATCTGCAAATAAAGATAGTTTGAATTCTTCCTTTCCAATATATGTTCTTTTTATTTCCTTCTTTTGCCTGATAACACTGGCTAAGCTTTCAAGTATTATATTGAACAGGAATGGTGGACAGCATTGTCTTATCCTTGATTTCAGGGAAGTTTAGTACGATAGCAGCAGAAGACTTGTCAGGATTTTATCACTTTGACATAGGTCCTTTTTAAGTTTTTTTTTGTGTGTGTTTCTTTGTTTATTGTTGTTTTTCTTCCAGTACCTGGAATTGAACTCATGACCTTGTGCTTGCCAGGCAGGCGCTGTGCCGCTGAGCTAAATTCCCAGCCCAAGTTTTTTTTTTTTTAATCATAAATGGATGTTGGATTTTGTGAAAGGCTTTTTCTTCATCTATTGAGATAATCAGATGGTTTTTGTCCTTGTTTCTGTTTATTTGATGTATTCCACTTATTAATTTGCATGAACCATGTGTGCATCCTGAGGATGAGGCCCACTCATTCATAATGTATGATCTTTTCAATGATTGGTTGTATTCTGTTTGCCAAAATCTTGTTCCAGTATCTTGCCAATATCTTTTATGTTTATTAAAGAGAATGCCCTGCAGTTTTCTTTTGTTCATTCCTTGTCTGGTTTTGGTATCAGGGTAATTCTAGTGTCCAAGAATGAGTTTGGCAGAACTCTTTCTCTTCTAATGCCATTGAAGAATTTGAGGTGTGTTCGCATTAGATCTTCCCTGAAGTTCTTGTAGAATTCCGCAGTGAATCCATTGGGTCCTAGGCTATTTAGTTGAAAGGTTTTTTGTTATGACCACTAATTTCATTCCGTATTACTGGACTGTTCAGTATTTTTGTATCTTCTTGGTTCTGTTTTGGTAATTTATATGCCTCTAGAAATCTATCCATTTCTTCTAGTATCTCCACTTTATTGGCATTCAGGTTTTTAAAGTAGTTACTGTAATGCTCTGGATTTTGGAGCATTCTTTGTGATTTTGCCGTTCTCATTTCTAATTGCACTGATACAGGCCTTATCTTTCCCTGTTTTGCTAAGTTTGGCTGTCTATTTTATCTTTTGCATAAAAGAACCAGCTTGTCTGTTCATTAATTCTTTATATTGTTACTTTAGTCTCAATTTCATGACTTTCCCCTCTGATTTTTACAATATCCTTTTTGTGCTAGTTTTGGATTTGGATTGTTCTTGTTTTTCTATGGCCTTGAGGTGCATGATTAGGTTATTTGGGATTGCTTTGTTTTTGTGATGTGAGCAGTCACAGCTATAACCTCATCTCTCAGAACTGCTTTCATTGTGTTTCACAGGTTCTTGTATATTGTACTGGCATTATCATTTGATTCTAAGAAATGTTTGATTTCTTCTTTCATTTCTTTTGTAACCCACTGATTATTCAAGGGTATATTATTTATTCTCCATGTGTTTACATAATGTCAGTGGTTTCTCTTGCCATTAATTGCTAGTTTCATTGTACTGTCATCTGATAATATGCAGGGGGTAATTTCTATCCTATTGTTTTTATTTAAGCAAGTTTTATGGCCTAGTATTGGGTCTATTGTGTACAAAGTTCTGTGTGCTGCTTAGAAGAATGTGTATTTTTTGTTGTTGGGTTAAGTGCTCTTAAGATATCTGTTAAGTCCATTTGTTCAAAGGTATGATGCAACTCTGATATTTGTTGTTTTTTTGTCTAGTTGATCTATTTGTGAAAGTGGGGAATTGAGGTTCCCCACTATAATTGTGTTTTTATCTGATCTTTCATGTACGGTAGTATTTGTTTTATGAAGTTGGGTATTAGGTGCCTAGTATTTGGTGCTTAGGATTTTTTTGTTTCTGGGAGGGGTGCTGGTACTTAGGTATTTATAATTGTTATCTCTTCCAGTTGAACTGTTCCCTTTACCTATTTGTAGTGACCCTCGTTTTCTCTTCTGATAGTTTTGGCTTGAAGTCCACTTTGTCTGAAAATAGGATAGCTACTCTTGCCTGCTTATGGGCGCTTGTTGCATGAACAGTTGTTTTCCATTTTTATTTTTAATTTATAGACCTATTAAAATATTAAATATGTTTCTTGTATACAATATAGCATTGGTTTTTTCTGTTTTTGTTTTTTTTTTGAGACAGGGTCTTGCTGTGTAGCCCAGGCTGGCCTTGAACTCATGGCGATCTTCTTGCCTCAGTCTCCCAAGTACTGGGATTACAGGCGTGTGCCACCATGCCTGATGGGTTTTGTTTTTTTCTCTGATCTGCCTTTCTTTTTTTTTTTTTTTTTTTTTTGGTTTTTCTCCGGTACCGGGAACCGAACTCATGACCTTGCGCTTGCCAGGCAGGCGCTTTGCCGCTGAGCTAAATCCCTAGCCCCCGATCTGCCTTTCTGTGTCTTTTGATTTATGAGTTGAATTCGTTTACATAGAAAGTTATTATTGAAAGGCATTGACTGAATCCTCTCATTGTGTTGTTTTTCTGTTGCTGATTCCTTTATTTTTCCCTTTTGTTTGACTGCTCATTCTGTTCTGTCTATTCATCCCCAAAGGTTTTTGGCATTGATGTCTTTGTTGTCTTTGTCCAGGATATCCTGAAGTATTTATTGTAGTACTGACTGTCAGGAATTTCTTAAGGTGTTCTTTGTCGTGGAAGGTCCTAATGTTTCCATTAATTTTGAAAAATATTTTTTCAGGATATATTAGTCTGGGTTGAAAGTTATTTCTTTTAGGGTTTAAAGAACTTCCCTCCAAGCTCTTTGGGCCCTTAAAGTTTGTCTTAGGAAATTTGTTTGTGCTGAGGTTGAGGAGTGATTTGAATGGAAAGACTTTGTTACTAGTATAAAGATCTTTTTAGTTAGTGTCTGCTTCTCAGTGATAAAGGAGTTTAAGAGTTCAAACTCTTTGTTTCTCATCTGTGGAAACCTAACATGTTGCTAGTTAGCTTATGTTTGGGGCCTCTGTACAGAGTTTTGGTATAAGTTACCCCGAGTTCCCCACGGAAGATACTATAGGCACTGGTTAATTCATATATAAATGGAGAGAGAGAGAGACACAGAGAGAGACAGAGACAGAGACAAAGACAGAGACAGAGAGAGACAGAGAGAGAGACCACCAAAAAAATGTATGCACACTTCAAGAAAAGAAAAACTTGTATACATATTTTAACACATACCAGACATTTACTTCTGGTAAACTGACTGTTTTGTCCACGTGCACATTTGGGTTTTCATGATGTCTCAATAAATTTTATATATATATTAGATAGAAGGAGGAAGATAGAAGAATAAGAAAGAGAAGAAGAGAGAAGGATAAAAGGGGGAGAGAAAAAGGAACAACAACAACAAAATCTAAAACTCCATGCAGCTGCAAAAAACTCAAAATCACAGCCTCCTTGCAGCCCCACTCTTACTGCGGTCTAGTGAGCTCTTCTCCCCACGTTCCCACAGAGGGAAGCTTTGACTTGGGGGGAAGAGGAGACTGGATCGATTGCTAGGTTTGGCTCTTTCCCACTCCTCTGCTGTCTGTGTGTCACTGTCCCCTCACCCTCAGTCCAGTGTGCTGCCTGTTACTGCAGGTGTCCGAGCTGGTCCCCCCTAGGATCTGCCCAGTTGCCTGCCTGTGAGCGAGGAGGCTTGTTGATTCCAGTGTCTGAGTCTGTCTCCCTGCTGGAAGTCGCTCTGAGCGTGACTAACGTAAGCCTTTGCCTCTGTCCCAAGATCTGACCCGCTCAATTACTTCGAAAAGGGGAGCATACAGTGTGGTTGGCCCAGCACTGAGTTCTGCCAGAGCCCTCTCAATCCCTGCTGCATTCTCTGTACCTGTTCTCCCTTGACCTTTCCACCAGTCGCACTTTAGATTCCCTCTGGCCGGAGTGCCACTTTTCCGCATTCAGTCGCTCTAGGCAGGAGGTGACGATGGCACCTGACAGTGGCCTGTTGGCAATGATTAGGACGTCCTGAGGGCACAGCACTTCTCATGTTTGGGGGAGGAACAGGCATGTGCCTATTCCTGAGCCAGTCTGACCGCTTCTGTCCCCAGGGTTTCACTGTTCACAGGATGCTGCCTATTCACATAAGCCCCTGGCCAGAGTTTTCTCAGTGCTCAGATCTCCATCCCCAGCCAGGATCATGCAGTTATTTTCAGCTTTGCCAAGAGCCTACCGGAGCTTTCGCATACACTGCTCATTGGCTTTTAGTTTCTCTGATGCTGTGGTTTGTGTTGCTTGCTGTGTTCCTATTCTTGCTGGGAAGGCTAGGAGCCTAGTTCAGTGGCTCGCTCGCTCATGGTGCCAGATCCTCTCCTAAGACGGTGCATGTGCCAGACCTGGGGTGTAAGGTGTGCTGTGGTCCAGGAGTGGACTGGCTTCCCCAGCTCACTGACCCTGGATTTGAATCTAGTGAGTTTCTCCTTCCACTTGCTTTCCCGTATCTGGCTTTCTTTGTTGCCCACGACTCTGTGTACCTAATCCGTCCCGTGTACATATGGGAGCCTCCCTTCCTGCTACCACCTAATCAGCCGTGATGGAAGCTTACTACGAGTTCTATATTAATACACAGTGCTGTAGAGAGATACAGTCTTTATGTATATCATTTCATGGAGTTGCTTGCAATTAGATTTTCTTAGCCATATACTCTGGGATATAATGTTGCTATAACTTTGAAGGTACATGTAAGGGTCTTATTGTGTCCCCTAAAAAAAGTATTTTAAAAAATCCCAATTAATTTTAAGTAACATTTTTCTTTCAGAATATGAAATACAAATAAAAGGCTGTTAAAGTATATTCTCCTTAAAAGGATTAAAATGATTCTAATTTTGGGCACCCACAGAAATAGTGTACTCAAAAAACAAACAGTTTTCAGAAGAGGTGGATGGTTACATACACTCACTGATTTGTGATCTATTTAAGTGACAAAGAACACATATACTTCAGAATACCTGTGAAGGGAAGATAACTATTTCCTCATGGAAATTCAAGATATTTACTAAAATGTAAGCAAGCTAGGTAGAAAGCAAGTTATATCTGTAAAATCCACGTTGGTTATTTTAAAAATGTGAGCTTGCATTTGTTAACACGCTGTTTTAATATTTTTCTCTTTTTCAGCCCACTTCGATGTGTGGTTCTTGTTGCGCTGAGGGACATCAGGCAAGGAGAAGAGCTCTTTTCAAACTACTACACAATTGTCAGCTAACGTGGTGCACTGGAGATTAGCTTTTCTACTTAGCTTAGCATTCTGAGTTAACTCAAAATGTTCTTTTGTTAATCATTCTGAGTTCTACCTGTAGAATAAATATTTTGGAATTTAATTGAAATAAGAATTGTTTTATTGATATTACAGTTATGTTCCAGTTTCATGGTAAAAGTGATTTGCTTCATTATTACAATTGCAAAATTTGTAATGCAATTGCAGTGTAATTGGTTTTCACCTACACAATAGTTTATTAAATTAAAACTACTTGAACTGTAATCTCAATGTTTTATTTTGTATACCTGTGATTTATAAAATTTTAGTCAAGCACCAGCAATTCTTACAATGTTGAAGTGTATAAATTTCTGTAAAAATGTTTATGTTTACAGAATAAAAAATACCTAGTGTTGCCATGAGTAAACTGGTGTGTTTATATGTAACTTAAAGATTGTTCCACCTGGGTAAGGGCAAAACATGTCATTATCCTCTTTTCTTTACTCACTGAACACTCCCCCCTCCCCCCCAAAAAAAGGTTTCAAGAGTAAGACATTGTTTTAGTACGGGAATATAATTAAAGATTCGTGTTGAGAGAATCTACTCTCCATGTCTCGTTTTTGTGTGGCGACTTAGATATGCTCCTGGCCTTTCCGTGCTCTGGAGAAGTGACTTTCTGAGGTATTTTTGGTGAAGCAGGCACTCACTGCCCACACCCTTCTGGCTCTTTCTCTGCAGCCCCTACTTACCAGAGAACAATGTGCCCGGGTTGTGCAGGGAGAAACCTGCAGCCAGCCCAGCCCATGAGGGAAGGCTTAATCCAAAGGTGGAGCATTAAGCAAGCCAGGACAGCCGAAGCTCTAAGGATACCTTCCCTAGAGCTGTATTAGTAAGTTACTTTCCTCTCACTCTGCCTGACTTGCTCCAACTATCAGTTCCAAACATGGGTCCGGAAGGAGGGTGTTGTTGGGCTCCTGAAGTCATCATGGAAGTAGCATAATTAGATTCTGACCACCTTCACTGCTATTTCATTTTACCTTGTTTATTGCCATCTCAACAGCTTCCTGATTGCTTTCTGTGCTTCACTCCCGCCCCTACAGATTAGCCCCCACCAAGAGTGATTATTTTAAATGGAAGTCAGAAGATACATCTGTTCAGAACCCTATCATGACTCAAGTCCTTTCACATACATGATCCTACTGCCTCAGATCTCACCTACACTCCTTGTTCATTCCATCCCAGCACACCTGCCTTGGGAGCTCCTTCTCTGCCTGCACAGGCCCTCCCCCAGAATTCAGCATCGCTTTCGTTCCATCACTGTCTGAGACATGCCTACCATCCTTACCGAAGTTTAGTCCTTTACTCCCACCAATACTCTCCTGTTTACTTCCCTGTTTCTCTGTAACAATTATGACCGGAAGGCTTACATTTACGTTACAGCACATGTACTATTAATTCCAGGAGAGGAACAGGAAAGCCAAATACGAAGGCATTGTGCCAAAGGTGTCAATGAAATCCCTGAAGACTGTTCTGCTCCCACTAGGCTTCTCCTCTCTCCCCAAAAGCCTACAGTACTGTTAGTTCTCATATGGCACTGGACTGCGTTCATGGCTGTATTCAAACCAGTTGTGGTGCTTCTGTGCATGTGGCCATCCCAGACTTCTCACAGGAAGGCCCTGTGCTGTCTGAGATGAAGGGATGTGCTTCTAGACAAGCAACCAAGGCAGAAAAGATGAAATTTTCGCTTTCATTTTTTTCCTTTCTTGGCATTTTACAAAAATTTGGATGTATGTGCAGACTGGTAACTATAAGTTCAAAATGAAACCAGAGAAAGCTCTAGAAAGAACAAATGAAATACGGGGACAAAAGCGTGGTATTAAGCTAAGTAAGATACCTAGCTTGAAAAAACAAAGGCAGAGGAAAGATGACTACAGATGATGAAACTACTGATAATACAGATACTTGCCATAAATATTATGTTGCCAAATAATAGTATCTAATCACATTTCAGCTACCTACCTTGTCTTCCTAAGAGACAACTGCCTACAACAGTGTTTGAAAAATAACCGATATTCAGTAAATATTTTCTGGACTAAACCAGAATCCTTGCATTGGGATGGTTAGAATTTTACTACAGATGGGAAAATATTATAGGTGACTTTAAAAAACCAATGAACTTTATTACTTACCTATCACATATTAGTCACTACATCTAAAACCAATTTAAACTGGCACAAAACCTACCTATTTGGTATTGCTTAAAATTCATTAAACATTTAGGCAAATATTCACACAAACCAAGAAAAAAAAGATTTCCAGATTTTTATTTCTGGAACTGTACACCAGGTATTAAAATACAACAAATACAAAATAATGCTCAAAAAAATCAGTGTTTTATGTACAAATATTAAAATCAATGCAACATAGCAACTTCCTCTTGAATACCGGATACTAAAACTTGTTCTGATTGTCACTAATTTATCTCATACTCACAGGGTACTTATTTCAAACTGGGACAACTGGGATCACTGGTCATCTAAGAGGAATATTAATATCTACCACATTTAACAATAAAACTAATAGGTTCCTCCTTTTAGTGAAAAAATCAGGAACTTTTTAAAAAACATAGTAATGTCAATATTTTTATAAATTATTTCGATTTTCCATTTGTAGACAATGTGCTTTGAAACTCTGGGCAAACAATCTCCTTGGTGGTCAGGTTTATTTGTTAGTTTACATTCAAAGTTGAAATATTTCCTAGAGACTTTGGTTAAATTAAATAGTATCACTATGCTCCATTAGATCAATGTTCTCAAATATTTATGCCCCTCAATTTTAAAAATTAAAAGGAAATGATTGCACAATTCTTTGACCTAATTGTACACACTTTAGTTTTTTAAAAACAGTATTCTACATCCTTCAAGTAAATTCAGCAGTTGACCATGACAAGAGGAAAACTAAACATTTAAAAGGCTAGCATGAGAAAGATGAAACACGACTAACAAAAGTATTGCTATAGTCACAGCACCAGTTACACTTCTAAGTGAACCCACCATCCTCTTCCAATTCCCTGTACAAAAAGGATACATCAGCCCACACTGCAATTTCTCACCATGGATTTTTGGTTTGTTCATATGAAAATAATGCGGCAAAGGAAAAAAAAAAAAAAGAATTTATCACAGTTTGTTATAAGAATTGTGCTTAACACTTAATAATAAAGGCATTGTTTCTTCATATGATTGCAAATCTGGTATTTTTGTTTTCAAACGCAATTCTTTTAATAAACAGTAACAAATTCTGTTAAGATGTTTAAACGGAAAGAAAAAACCCAATAAATCCAGCTTTTAAAAGAAAATTCAATAAATAGCTATTTTACATGGATAAAGTCATAGTGGTACAATTTATGAATGTCACATCAAGCATGCACAAAAATGGTATTATACATGGCAGAAGTAGTCAGAAAATATTGAATTAGATCTAAAAAGATATGAAGGATTTACACATATATACAAAAATCTTGCAAATTATTGCCTCATTTTAACAAGGAATTAAAAGTAAACGTTACCAGCTAGTTAGCACTCTCTGAGGCTAAAATCAGATTGGCATTAAAAATCTACTAAACTAGCTGGAATTTATTTTTCTCTCATATCATTTTCTGGATTTTGGTCAAAATCTTTATTTAAATAACTAAAGTGTCCATTCAACTTGCTGATAATCAGAACTTTAGATAAGAAACACTGTTTCCATCTTATTTCAAGATCCCAGCAATGCATAGATAAACTGAATATATTACTGCATCAGCTAATGAGAATGGGCATGTTTATTTAAGTGCAACTGGTATTAGCATTCAGTCATCTTTGTGTAAATTATTTATACAGACCAGCCACTGTAAACCCAGAGTGAAAATTAAAGTTTTAGCAATGGAAGATTATGGCCAGTATCTTTAGTAAGTATAGAAAGTGTACTGATTTTTAACGAAAGATATAAGGTTCAAAGTTTAGCACAACAACACAGCAATAAGAAGCTGACAAGGTGGATGATAATATCAGAAAGCAACGAAGAGCCCAGGCTACCCATACTGACTGTGTACATACAGGAATGCTAGACTTTAGATGTATAAATTAGAAACTGATTTTAAGTTATTAATTTAACTACTTTTGTCCACTGTGCTAAACTAAATTTTATAGTAAATGTGCTACTGCGTAAACACTTCAAAGCAATCTTCATAAAATGCTGCAAAGAAAAACAAGAATACATATCATCCAAAACTAAGGATGTCATTGCAGTTCACAGTTTGTATAATAAATACCCTCCCTTTCAATCACTAAGACCACTACATCCTATCTACTCTTCAGCACAACCTTGAAGCAACTTACACTTACTAATATTAGCAATGCAGCCAAACATTTAAGTTTTTTGCAAAGCAACACAACTAGTAAAAATCAAAAATTTTAATTAAGACGGTGCAAAAAAGTAACTGTTTTAACTGTACTATAAAAGCAAAGCTTATCTCCTAATACTGTAGTACATACTGTTTGATTCACCTTATAACTTAAAGATGCATGTCCTTAGGGCAAAAATGGCCAAAGTTTAGGACAATGGCTTCTTATTCACAATGTTTGAAATAAAAATAAAACAGTCTGAGATGTATCTGAATGTCTATCACTTTTTAAAACTTAGAAGTGGTAACGTACCATTCTATTTCAGATAGAAACTCACGTTTTTTTGCCAACTGTTCAAGCTAAACAAAATAGCTTAAATATACTTCAAGGTTCTACTGCATTATGCATAAAATCTAGAAGTCCCTCTAAACATTAACACTTTGAACTGCAGTGCTACAAACTTAAGAGGTGTCCCAAATTGTAAACCATTGAGTGGCAACACCCTAGGCTTTGCGAGTCATTTGCCTCAGGATAAACTAAACTATCAGTGACCGGTAGATTTTTAAGATTACAATCTTGATAATAATGGACAAAATCCGCTATGAATATCACATCTTCCAATACCCATTTTTTTAGCCAATAAATGAAATTACACAGAAATATCCTGGCAGTAAAATGACCAATTCTGTGTAAGGTAGCCCTGGTCTAAAATTCTGAAACAGGATCCAAGCAAGAGTCTTCATAATTTGCACACAGTTCCTTGCGCTGGCTTCCGTAAAGATGGTCTTGCTGTTTTGTAAACTGAAGTGCTCTAGGTGAGTAACATGAGAGAAGTTTCCATTAAAAAAAAATCCTTGCATGTTTGTGCAGTTTAAAGAAACCTACCCCTGCTGTTATTAATAAAGAAATTAAAACCAAAAAATGCTACATTGAGCAGGGACTGGGATCGGTACCTGTAAACATTGTTATTCCACTGCATCCATCTCGGCAAAAGGAATTTACAGGAAAAGAAGCCACACCGTTCAGTTCAGAACACCTGTGCTGGTTTTGAGCTGGTGGCCTCTGTCTACAGGTTTTAAAATTGGGTATAGGGGCAGTGGGAACAAAAATAATAGGAAGAAGAGGAGACTGGGGAAGAGGTACTCGGGGATGAGGAAGAGAGAAGCAGAGCTTAAAGCTGCACCACAGAGTTCAATCTTAGTTCCCAACTCTGCTGA